ACATCGAATACGTACTTTCTTAAACACCGGAGCAACACTCATTTTAATGCTGAAATGGCTCGCATTCTCAGCCATAGATCTCTCAATATGTAGTCCAAATCTTGCAGACTCGCTGACGTGGAAACCCTGCCAGATCTTCATCAGATTGATCACTTTCCTCTGTTGATATCAATCAAACAGGCAAAGAACACAGTACACTTACCAAAACGTTGGTGGTACCAACCGCGCAGACTGGTTCCAGCTTCACCAGACATATACCACCAATATTGTCAAGTGGAAACTCAGAGGAAGACGTTAACGATTTCACCACACTGTCTTATTCGCTGTAAATACATCCACAGGACTAGTGGCGCTCATCTAGATTCAGTACCATGGTGGAATACGGAGACAAAGAAGCAATAGAGGGAGAAAAGAAAAGCCCTCAATAAGATATAGACGTGCACACCAACCCAAGAAATCTTATTGCTTTCAAGGACGTCTGCGTGCGTTTTCCGCCCGCAGAAAAATACTAAAAGGCAAACACGATCAAGCTGGAAAAGTAGCGTACAACCATAACTCGGACGACCAATAGTCGGAAATATGACAGAAAAATCGCTCAATGCTGGGACAATGTTTTTCAGTTCCGAATACAATGCATTGAAACACGAAGGACAACTAATCATGCAACCTGACGAAATAGCCAGTGCTTAGGCGACGCAATACTCTAAAGCCAGTGCACAAGTAGCTATCTACAGGGCCTTTCTCGACAAAAGAAAGAAGAAGAACAATTAACTTGACTTTACAACAATATAATAGCCATATAACGCTCTTCCCACATGGAGAGAATTGCAAAGACGCATAAACTGCACTGGAGAACACCGCAGCAGGGTCAGACAATATCCATCTACAGCATATCGTGATTACCGAAGAAAATTACTGGTCCACGTTTGCTAAATATATACAATAAACTTGGACACAAAGTAATTACCCCAAAGTCTGGAGAAGGATAATAATTCCAATTTTAGGCAAAGGCAAGGATCCATTAATCTGAAATTATCGCCCGGTATCGCTGACATGCTGTCTAGGAAAATATTGGAAAAAAATGGTCAACACCGCTACATGGTGTCTCGAAAGAAACAACCTTCTAACAACATACATCAGTGCGGATACAGACAACATCACTCTACAATCGACCAGCTGATATATTGGAAAACGCAATTCAGAATACTTATCAAAGAAAACATAATGGTTACGTATTCTTTGACCCTGGAAAAAGCTTTCGGACAAGACCTGGCGCCATAAAACATTCTGAACAGCTATTATAACTGGGGCAAATAAGAGGATATCTACAAAATTCATTATCCAGCTTCCTTAGTCCCAGATCTTTCAAAGTTGCGTTGGCAGTCCTAATCTCCAGAAAGCACGTACTAGAGAACGGTGTCCGCAAGGTTCTCCATTGAGTGGCACGCTCTTTATCATAGCGATTAACGGGATGTTTTGAGCGGCATAGAAGCGTCAATAGGAAAATGCATGTATGTAGATTGACATTGCTATATTTTACTCAGCAAATACTGGGAATGGTCCAAATCAAATGCAAAAATGCACAATAAATTAGTAACAGATGCAAAAAAATTTGGTTTCTCATTTACATGCAGCAAACGAATTGCGTCACTTCAGTCGGTAAAGGAAAAGTTACAGGATTCTGAGCTGACGCTGAATGGTGTTCAAACTGGCATACAATGAAACGGCAATAATTCCTTGGCTTGATTTTTTGATAGGGCATTTAACATGGAAACAGGCATATAGAATAATACTTGCGTAGTTGCAAAAAAGCTTGAATGTAAAATTAAGAATGCATTTCCCATATCAGTTGGGGAGCAGATAGAACATCTTTACTGCGCTTGTACAATCCTATCGGTGAATGTCCAAAATAGATTATGGAGTGCAAGCTGTACTCTCACCAGAAAAATCAAGTTTAAGGAAACTAGACCCGTTTCACAATGCGGTTCCGAATGATCTGGGCGCGTTCCGCACATAGTCTTCCTCAAGCCTTCTACTGTGAAACAGCACCATGTCGCACTAACGGACGACAAACAATGCTACTGAATTATAGATAAAATTGCTGTCTCTACGAAGCATTTAAATTCATCATTGATGACTCGACTAAGCTAAAATATTCTTACGATCAAAGACTTAGCACTGTCCAGCAACATCCGCGCAAATCTGAGATAGCCAAGTGCTACAACAATCGTCTCACACCAGTTTTGAACACGAACATATGAAATTCCAGTTTGGAGTTGAACATGCCAGCAAAGTAAGACTCGAATACTACCAAGTCAAAAAGAAAACGGAATGCTCCCATAGATTTAAAGGTTCAAGATTTCAATCAGTTCTCGAAAGAATACATGACAAATCACATATAATCTCTACACGATGGTTCAAAAACAAAACTATCAGGTGGAAGCGCATTTGTAAACGAGGAACTTGTCGAGGGCTTGGGGCACTTCAACTGAAGCAAGTGTGTACACTGACGAATATATGCAGTATTGCAGTCTTTGCGACACTGTGAAACTCTCGATTCAGGAAGGTTTCGTCATCTGCACAGACTCTCTAAAAAGTCTTCTCACTGCAATAGACAGGCGCCAAACTGTAGAATCACTGCTGACAAATGATTCTCATAGCATGCGCATAAATTAGAGAGGAGAGCATCAGTTACGTTCATCTGGTGCCCTGGACACGTGGGTATCTCTAGGCCAATCGAAGAAGCCGATCTGCAGCACGCAAATGCCGGGCAAGATTCAATCAGAAATTGGAATATTGAAAATACGACTCAGGATGCCAAGAATGCTGTCTCGAAGTGCATCTCACAGAATGCAGACCGTCGTGGAACAGTTCTTCAACAACGAAATACACCCAATTAAACAAAATATCCAGTAAATGGTCCACCAAATGTGAGCTACGCCTCGACGAGAACAAGTGTGTTTAACCCGACTAAGAAATAGGCCATGCCAAGATGGACTTCTCTTCATACATGTTAAGAAATGAGAACAGACCCATCGCAGCTGGCGGAAGACTTCTGACAGTGAAACATATTCTGGCAGACGTGCGTAGATTCTCAAGACTCAGAAACAGATGCGGCATGAGAGGAAATGAAGATGATCTCGGCACCGACAAGACAGCAAACTGACAAAAACAATACAGTTCTTGAAGAAGCCAAACTTTTCCTTCAAATTTAGATGTAATATATGCATTAATCAAACATCGTCAGTAAAAGGCTAAAGGCCTTAGATGCTAAGCCTTCAAACTAACAAAAATAATATAATATAATAATATAAATAATAATATAATAATAATAATAATAATATAATAATAATAATAATAATAATGTAATTAAAAATCCTGCTGTAGGCAGAGAAGCAGTTAAGAGACTGGGACTTGGGTTCAAACCTCAGAAAAATTGAGATTTTTTCCAGTAATATTTTTATTCAGGACGATTTGAAGCCCATTCTTGAAAAGTGTGTCAATATTTTACGAATTGATTGATGGATAAATATGCGAGGAAGCACGACGCCATTTCCACTTTCGAAGAAGTTCTATGACCAGTTGCAAACATTTGTTCATATAAGGCCTGAAGTGGAAAGTAATGGTTAGGATGAACAAAGCGGGCTGAGAGTCTTACCGCCACTGACCCTCTATGATGACGGCAACGTGGATTCCTAGTGACACGCAACTAGCTGCAGCTTTTCAGTTATGTAATCCACCCTCGTTACAACGAACTCGGAATGAATAAATAAAGAGGACGGAGCGTCATGCCACGCGTTTGCTAAGCGTTTATAATGCCGACATTAAACATTTCACCTCAAAAAAGTGCCCAGACAGTAAAGGGATCGGAATGATAAATATCAAAGTTTAAGATAGAAATCTACTATTGCCTTTAGACTCCCCGCGAAATATTATGCGCAGTTTCTATGACAGTCTGGCAGTCTTGAGTTTCTATGGAAGTGAACTGGAACTCTGCCTTTGGCCGAGGCCCAACTGTCAAAGACAGTGAAAAGTGTGTGAATGATTGACTGATATTTCGGTGTGTCCGGGCGCGTCAACTGCAATGGTCATTTAGTCCTGTAAGTGTAGTGCAATGTTTGTATCACGGCAGGTGGAGGCGTTCTCTTCGCGTGGATGGTGCGATCCGGTGCACGCTGGCTTGAGGAAATTTTCCATAGCCAGGTATCTCCACTTACGGTGCACCGCCCCAGTCAGATCAAGTTCGAAGCTCCAGATTAGACTCCAACAAGTGTTGGTAGCGTAGTGCATGTGAGTGTTGTGTGTGTGTAAGTAAGGGATGAGATATGGCCAAGGGAGAAAGGAAAAATCGTCGGGCTGTCCGTGGATCGTTGGTAGGGCACTGTTCCGGCAATCGCCTGGCGTTGTGGAGAAACGGAAAAACTGTTCTCGTAGCAGCCGGCCGCTGCAAATGCTCCAGGCTGCGCTTTGAATTCGAACCTAACTACTGCATAGTTTCGAAAAATTCCCACCACGGTCGGGACTCAAGCGCTAAGGATCTTCCTCAGCGCCCTGCCATCGTTGATGGCCGAGTCACCTAAGCAGTATTTTCCGTGGTTTCTGCCGATAATATCAAGGCGAATTCTGGAGCAATTGCCCTTGACAAATGTCTGCGGCGCAATCTTTTCTTTCTCTAGCTTGTACTATCTCTCTCTATCCCCATTCTCTCTCTCTCTTCTCTCTCTGTCTCTCTCTCTCTCTTTCTCTTCATCTTTCGCACACACAGACATACACACGCATATATATATATATATATCATATATATATATCATATTTAATATTATATACACACATATATGCCATTACCATACATTTTGGGAGCTTAGAGGTTGTCCCGGTTGTGGCAGTGCCCTGTGCTGCTGGATAAGTTGTGTCACGCACAATGAAGTCGCGCAACGAATAAGCAAGTGTTCCTGCAGAGATTTTGAAGCGACCGCAGCAAACGAAAGTGCAACACTCACAGGTGCTGGTCGGCGTGGTCCCAGGCGAGCAGGCGCACCACGTCGCAGCGGCCGCGCGTCAGCGGCAGCGGGCGGCGCCGCGCCACGTTCACGTGCACCACGTGGCGGAAGTAGCCGGCGGCGCCGTCGCGCACGGGCGCCAGCGTCACGTAGCTGCTGCCGTCGGCGGAGAAGAGCGGCGCGGCGCCGGCGTCCACCCAGCCGCGGCCCTCGCCGCTCACGCGCTGCGTCTGCGCACCCAACACGCACGCACGTGGCAACTCCACAGAGGTGCGATTTTAAGGTACATCGCCCCAATTTCTTATAAAGTGGAATGAGCATTCATCTCTGACATTGTTCTTAGTGGTGGTAGAATTTAGCACATTATTTTTTTTAATTGCTCCTTGAAAACAAAGCTACAGCATTTTATGACATAAAAATTATTATTTAGCATTTTGTAGTTTTTTTGAGGACATTATTATTATTAAGGGTGGATTTTTAAGGGCGAAAAAATCCTTCGTACGCCTTCCTTCGGAGGGGAAGTAAAGCCGGCTGTCCCATGTTAGTAGATTTACTTGCATGTAAAAGATCCTCAAGCCTAAATGACGCCTCTGAGCTAAATTCAAAATCGCCTGTTTCTCGCCCAAGAAATACCTCCATTCTCTGCTAGTTGATGAAAGGAGCGTAGCGAAATTTGCGTGGTCAGACGGAAGAGCGGGCCTGATGGCCCGAGTCTCGCCACGTAAAATAAGGCAAATTCAATTCAATTCAATTAAGGGACGACATAATTTGCTGCTTTTCAGATTTTCCCTTTAAAAATCAAGAAACTAGGGAAAATAATTTAATATTTCGTCTTTTGTATTCTTGAAAAAATATAAAAGCGTATGAAGTAACCGTGCGGCGTAGAATCAGGGTCTTCATCTTTACCCCGATACTTTCTGCGTACAGCGAACTGATGAAGATGAGATCCCTTGACGTGGTCCTGAGCGCTTAGGTCTTTTTAATTATTTTTTACTTTGCCAGTTAAACATTAATTATGAATTAATTAATACATCTGCTCATAATTTATATGTTTTCAAACATCGATGAGTTGATGATGTCGCATCCCTAGTTAGAGAGTGGATTTGATGGAAACCATAAAATGCAATTTTGCAATTGTTTTGCAGACTTCGTACTTTGTATGTGATTTTACGTTTTGCGATCCATTATGCATTTTATCGCAAATTGAAATCTTTTAGAAATATACTGCACTGATAGCACTGCACTGACCGACTAAGTTTTTCAACGTTTGGTAAATGACGCATTTATAACAATTCCTAAAATCCACCATCTTCAATTATATTATAAATGAACTTGGTGTAGAAACAGAAAAAAGATGTTTATTTACAACAGTATTTCTGAAAAGCGGCGATGTGGCGCGTGTAAAGCATTCCTTACTGACGGATTTCGGAAAGTCATGTTCACACTGAGAAAAACACTTGTTTGCAGTCAAAAGATTCCTGTACGTTTGTACAGGCAGTTAGTGAAAAACACCGAAACATTTATACTGATTGTGGTAACAGTGGTGTTGTTTATTAACTGCATACTTGACTTGCTTAATCAGAAATCACTCCAATCTAATAGTACCCTGCTTTTATCAAATAATCGTATGTTCATTCCAACTGAGCAAATGTTGACGAGAGTATTAGACTTTTTTCTTTGTGAGGCTAATTATGTAGGGTAAGTTAGTTTAGGTGAAGACATGCACATCACTGTGTTTCTGGTAACATTACGAACAAATAATTCCATTGCGTTTGGGTTTCAGGAGCAAAGATATGCGTAGAAAATTATCGTAAATCCTTCCAATCGTCGCAGCCTTCGGAACTTTGTGCGCTCCGTGACTCGACGCTCTGTTGCAGACTGGAGAGGCTATTAGCGTTTTGTGAGACCGGCAAGTGCAGTGGGGAGATTGCAGGGCCATGCGAGATATAACGGTGTTGTAAATTGTACCCCAAATTTCAGCAATTCACATTTTTCCGTTTTTTTGTCGTTTGTATAAAAAATAATTTTTAATTTTTTAAATTTTTTTTGTTTAAAACTCTCTTTAGAGCTTTGACTCACTTCAAGCACAACATTCTGAATCTCATATAAGAAGGGAAATCGCTACGTAACTGTTCTGGAGTAACGAAACGTTTATCAGCAAAATGACATTACAGATATTTGTTAAAGTATTTCAAAATAACGGTGTAGCTTTTTCACATGAAATGACTCATCCTGTATAATAATATAACAAGATAAACATTTGTCAATATTCATAATTAGGGGAGAATTTTAATGACATGTCATTTTTTCTTTTCATTTTAGAACAGTGCCTTTTAGTATAAAAATTAATTTTATGCTATGACAAAAGGAAATAATCAATTTTTATACGGCAGTTTTTATTTGCATTATTCGTTGATTTCGACTAACTCATTTTTTAAGCATTTCCGTGTTTTTTAAAGAATTTTTCATTAATTTCATTGATTTAAATATCGTTTTAATAGTTTTTGCTTCAAATAAAATTTAAGAGGTGCAATAAATGTTCTGCACAGAATCCTTGTGTAGCCTATTTGATTTCTTCGCTCAGAAATATAATGTCAGCCGTTGTGAGTATGTAATCTAAGGTTCCTGTGACGCTCCACAACGCCATTGTCGGTTCAGCTGGTTTCGCTATAACAAAATACAGATATTTTCTGGTAAAGAACAGTCCAAACCAAAAGTTTAAAAAAGCTGAGTTAATTTGAACGAAAGGCTAAAGCCCGAGAAAAACATTTTAAGAACATTTTATTGGTCATTTTTAGCGATGTTTTAGGTCGACAAAATTCGTCTCTATTCATACAGTATTCTAGCCAATTTAGCAATAAATATTTCAAATTTCTTGGTCTAAAGTCTTCAATACTAAACCATCAGACGCGAATTAAAGATCTTCATCCTAACTGAAAAATAGATTTTCGCGTGGTATGATGAGAAAGACAAATGTGTACAAGCAGTTAGTTGTGAAAATAATGATTAAATTAGTTTGTGATCCATCTTAACATCGGCTGTAAACCAAGAATCAAAAGAGAGTAGGTATTTGAATGATAGAAGTGTTCATTTGAACGACTAGTAGAGGGTAATGTTTTGTGTGACAATAAATAGCGTGAATTTAACTTGCATATTTTTCCATAAAGTCATTACGTAATAAAAATTATTAAATTTAATCGAATGACTTACATTATTTTGGATAGTTAATCCGTAGTTAATATTCGAATTTGCATGGTCATTGAAAGGAAGAAAGATATCTAGATTTTGCCATAAATCTATAGTCATTGTATTTCTGCACTGGTTGATGATTTAACGTATCTGTGATATTGATCGAGACTTTGGTTCTAAAATTGCAGCTGCCCCTATTAGACTGCTGGCTTTGCGTGATCACGTACTGTCGATAACTCATCAGATTGTGCCGCTCTCTAGTCCATTAGGCTTTCGCGTATTCGCTGTTTCAGTCAATGGGACAGTAGAAAGGGATGCCAGTGTGGTCAATCAATTCTGGGACATTATGCGTGTCATTGCCGCTAATATACCATAGTTGTTTAGTGACCTGACGAAAGAGCAGGTTTTATGGCTTGAGCCTAACCGTTGTTATCGTTTGCGACATATATTACATTATTATTATTATTATTATTATTATTATTATTATTACAAATTTTACCGAAATGATAGAATTGAACATGAACGGGATGTTGAAAATGTAAATATATTTTAAAAATATATTTTGTTGATAAGTTAAGTTGTGCAAATTTATTACTTCTATGACTTCACTCTCAGTATTTTAACTTTTAAATTTGATTGCCGTATCTTGTGATTTATCTTACCGAAAACATTTCGGTCATCTTTTGCTTGTAACTTTTGTGTTTATTTGTAGAATTCAATTTGTTTAATGATTTGTAATTGGTTTCCATTTTTATACAATACATTATAGAAGGAAGTTGTGGCTAAAATTTTTCAAGATAATCATACGAACAAAACTTTAACTACAATAAAAATATGTAAAATAAATTTACTGTGCTAAAGAAATGTATTTTTTATGATAATACATTCAGTTGTGTTAGAACTAATTACCTGATCACCTTTGTTTATTAGACCCACTACAACTGAATTTACAGAACACCATAACCTGCCTGATTCAACAAATGAATATGGGAATATTCACAATATCGAAATAACAAGTGCAAAAAAAAATGAAATAATACTTCTGTTACGACTGCAAAGTGCATCCAGAAAGTAAGGACCGTTTAGGCATTTAAAATACCTCTCTTATTTTTCAAATTACTTAATTGCTGAATAAACCTACACACTTTAAACTATATTTCTACATTTTGTATTTCTTAAATTATGATTGTAATACGTTTTATTGATAAAGTTTCCAAATCCAATTTTAAGATAATCTTTTTCCTAGAGACTAACATAATTTTTTGCAAAACAAATTGTAATCATTGATTCCATTTTGCAATGTTCCGGAGATCGAGAGGGGATTCATCTTCAGGTACGAACTGGCAGCTACATATTTCCTACATTTTTACATATTAACTGTGCAAATTGTAACAAATGTATTGCATATTGAAAACCACTCACCTCCATGCAGTACCACATGGGCCCCTTGCACACCGTGATGAGCGACAAGTTCTGCGGCCGGTTCAACCACACGACCGCCACCGACGTCTCGCTCACCCACGTGGCCGCCGTCACGTACACGTCCCTGCACAAGCGCACATCCAGCTCTTGGCGGAGCCACTTGCATACAGGGGGTTAACCGATTTTAAGAGAGAAATGAGTTACAAGAAACTGGTTAACGCTCCTTCCCGCCATTCCCAGGCACTTATTGAAACGTGCCTAATCATTTTTATGTCCGCTATAGCTTTTCACACTTGTAGATCTGGCCAATAAATTATCAACTCAGTGGGGGGGGGAGATGGACATAAATACCTTGTCCAGTAACTTAACAACTACCTTGAAAATCACATGCGTATATACAATGAAACAAACAAACAATCATACATACAAAATGTCATTTAAAACCTTGAGCGATACACGGAGTAATGTGATTAATACTTCTGACATGCTTTTGAAATTCCAAAGGGTGAAACATCTGAAACGTTTGTAGAGTACTTTAAATATTTAATAATTTATTATGATAAAACAAACAAGACATTTGTGCAATAATGTATTTTAGTAGAAAGGTCTCTATATTTATAAACTGAAGGAATGGTTTCAAAATCATTTGGTACGGAATAAAAATTAACCGTTGAAGCATAAAGATTGATATTTGAGAAATAATATTTTAATAATTATTTGGAATACATCTACACTCAGAAGAAAAAGTTAACTTCATTACTTAACTTACCCAGTTTAGTTGCTATTTAAAATTAACAAACTAAACTTACTCAAAACACGTATACATTTACTACCTATAATTTAAAAGATGTGTCTACGGACGTATAATGATAACTAATAATTTCGCAACTGTTATTCTCATCCACCACACCTTTTATACGAAAAATACTTAATATGATTTTCATGATTCTCTTTTTTTCTAATTAGTCAATATACTCACTGTAGGTGCTTGAAGGCAGCGGGTGGCTTAACGTCTCTGGTGTTGATGTTCTTTGGGTCTGCGAGATCCGCCACCCACAGTGACACAGATGGATTCGGCGTACCGGGCTACCAACAAACCAGCACACCACATGTAAAACGGTTTATTTTAAAACAATACGGTTTTAAAAATCTAAGGTGGCAGCAGAAAGTTTGTAGATATCCATAATTAATAAGGATGAAAGGATATTGAGGCCGATATCTCTTTTTATTCATATTAAACATTTATAAAAATATCTGAAAATGTATCTTTTTCAAGCTTATATGCATATTTTACCAGTGGCAAATGAAGACTATTTATTTTTAAGCAGAGTATATGTGGTATATTTACGAACATAACGAAGGTGATGTGTTTTCTTTTCCAGTACTTTAATCTAACATTTAGTTTGGGCTGAGACGAATCTTGGAAGCCTTCAACAAACATTATAGTCATTGTCAACGCGAAGGTATCATTGTAAGAAATATCAATCAACCCTTAGAGATTAAAATAATATATATCTTTGTAAGGCGGTACGCTTACTAATGGTCTACGTGCATTCTTTTCCTCCTACACACACACACACACATACACACACACACACATACTCATCTGGGCCGGATCTCCTAATCCAGAGGGGAAAAATGCCACCATCAACCGCCACCTCTCGTGATAAAAACATGCACTATTCATACGGAACTAATGACCACATCAGTTGCATCCGAAAACACAAAATAATCAATCAACAGAACTCCGCCACAAATAAAAACTAACTCCTAGCAAACTCACGGGGAACGGAGATTCTGTTATTACACTTTTCTTACTTTTCCCCATCTTCGTTACTCATTTACTTCATTTTTATGCCCCCCAGCTCTCTCGATTTACTAGAATTTGTATTAAATGGAAAGTTCCAGCGTAGCACATTTTTCATCCGTAATGCGCCTCAGCCTCCGCCTGCGCGAGTCATTCCATTTTTTTCTGGCTGCGTCGCGGATGGCTAATGAAGCTAACCCTGGGGAAAGAAAAAGAGGTAGCTGGTCGGTGCAGGGGTGGGGGGCCTCACTGCATCACGCTACGCCCGGGCAGTCAGTTCGCTCTGGATTTCAAGTCTCTCGATTAGCACACACTGCCTTGACTCTATATGATTCTCAGTACGTAAGTCTTTTCGGTTGTATTCGCGATGCTTGGTTTAGTGGACGCGTGACAATGATGTTATGGTGGTGATGTAGGAATGGAGGAACTGTGAAATGTGCGGTTGCAATAGCTGAATTAGATACGTTCTCAGCAAGGTTTTGACGGAATGAAACTAGCGAGCGGTAATTCGGATTTTGAAGGCAGCTGTTCTTTGATTTATGTTTGCAGGCAAGTCAACTGCTTTAGTAACTAGTCGTAGTGTAGTGAATGTTTAAATTCCTGGAGGGGTGGTGTTTTCAGATCAGAGCACCCAACCGCTAGAATTACCTTGTCAGCAGCTGACATTGAAGAAAGGTGGTGTTAATGCAACCGAAATACAAGTATATCGGTGTAGGCACAAATGTATGGGAATGTGTATTATCACATGTCGTTCGTGATTCTCTCTAAACACAATGTCCCATTGATTTGGAAATTGGGTGGATCGTACAATGCGAGCACTAGCTAAACTAATTCAAATGGGCCATCAAGAAGACATGTAGGCAAATATTATGCACCTAGCACGTAGGCAAATATTATTGTGCGCATAACTTGCTCCTCTCTCTGTTGCTTAGGTACACTGTGACTTACTCTGGCTTTTTCACACATAGGCGTTTTTTATTCATATTATTATGTTACGCGGCGACCCTTGCTTAAATATTGCAAGGTTTACAACATTCTTCAATATTGGAAGTAATAAATTGTTATGGGGAAAAGACACTATTTTATTTCTGCAAATCTTACTATGTGATAATGTATTGGGTTTATCTATTTTCAGGGGAAGAGGAATCAATGGGGAAGTATGCCTATATTGTGCATATTTTCTCCCATCAATTTTCTCGAAATCCTCCTAGTTGACAGGAAATCCTGCGGGTTCACTGTGCCTTAGAAGCTAATCATATGTAACATTTAAAAAAAATAATGCGTTCGTCATTCATTATAATCCCCCCCTCAAACAATCATCCATTCTTTAATCCATCCATTCATACATGTACTATTATATTATTCATTTACTTGCTCGTTCTGTCGTTCAGTGTCTAGTGATTCACCCCCTCTCTCATTCTCTCGGACTTGTTTATTGCCTCATTCGTATATTGACTTCCGTGCTCCTTTACTCCGCTTATTCATTCACCTTCTCACGCACTCATTCACAATGTTTTACTGTTCTTTAATAATCTTGAAGTAATGTTTCCGCTCTTCTATATTAGGAAACCGAAGTATTATGAAAATTCATTCGCGCACTCATTCACTCGCGCACTCAATCACTTGCGCATTCATTCACTCTCCCATTCGTTCACCCATTATTCACTCTCCCGCTTGTTCACTCACCATTTATTAATTAACTAATTAATTAGTTCATTCGGTCTCGCGACTACCTCTTGGTCAGCGTGATTGCTTTCCATTACGCGGTCCCAGGTTCGATTCTCGGTAGAGCCAAGAATGTAGTGTGCGTTTTACTTGCAGTGTCCCAGTATATGTTACTGTGTGATGATGATAAAATTCACTTCTCAGATTGAGAAGATCGGAATGCGGCGTGGGGATGTCTACGTACTAACCACATCTACCCCCTTAACCCATGGCCGCGAGGCAGGGACGTCGGCGGTAGGCCTGAGCCCGTTCACAGGCTGACGCGCCAAGTACATACATACATAATACAATTAATTTATTCATTCATTCACTGACTCATGCACTCATTCACTTGCTGCTCGAAATGGAGCCTTTAAGGAGCAAGGAGCGCCTGCCTACCTTGGGGTAGCGCAGCGAGCGGATCTCCGGGTAGAGGCGGCCGTCCTCGCGCGCCACGCCGAACCACGGGAAGCGCTGCTCCTCGACGCGCGAGTCGTTGAAGGAGGCGTACAGCAGCTGGTGCCCGTCGTCCGACGCCCACAGCGCCGAGTTGCTGCCCAGCACCTCCTCTGCGCAGCGCGCGCGCGCCGCTCGGCTCAGGCGCGAGTCCTCCGACAGGAGGAGTTTGGAGGACAGGAGTTTGAGCTTTACACGGTTTGTGGAGCACGGCGAAAAAGTGCAAGTGCATATACTGTATATAGTGTAAATATAGTGACTGAATGAATGTAAATAGAGTGAATCAGTGCGAGAATAGGAGTACAAATGAGATTAAAAATAAGAAAAAAGTTGAAACTAAGAAGCGTTATTTATAAGTTAATATTTTTTATAAACCTAAGGATATAGCCAAAGCGCCATTCTGTAAAGAGGTTAGTTAGGATATGCTAGCTATAAGTTAGTTGTAAGATTACCTTTAGCTAGATTATAAGTACTCTTCCCGTTTGTATCGCAAAACCAAGTAGGGCGCAGATTGTACTCCCCCAAAAAAGCAAATAAACTACCGCCTCACCGGGGAGACTGTTGGTGGGAACATAAAAAAAATGCTACGCTCTGCGAGAAGCACGTGAAGCAGTGACGCTCGTGTAGCGTCCGCTTCTCAGCACGAAAGAGCGCAGTAAATAGCGGAACACCAAGACACGTCCACAATACGGAAGAAGGAGACGACCCAAACCCTAGGCCCTAGGGTGACGAGGTAGGTGCCACGCTAGGGCCAGATGTGTCCTCGCGGTTGCGACCGCGGGGAGGCGTCGGGCTACAGTGAGCCTTGATAGGGAAGAGGGTGAGACAAAAGGGGCTCTTTGATCCGGAAGCCTCTGTCGCGAGGACGCCAGGGCCCGTGGGAGACCCGAGATCGAGTCGCTTGCGGGCATGAGCTCCTGGCTCTTGTTCAAGGGTGTGTTCGGTGGCCAACGGTGAGCGTACGCTCCGGCAGTAAATGGAATGACATGTACATACACGTATGTATGTATTTATGAAAATTAACTGAGTATATATCAAAGCCCTCTTGATCTTAATTTGTTCAAACCATGACGTCACACTTCTATTTTCATGTGGATAATTCAGCATCTACAATATCTGTCTGGTGGTCCATTCCGTTGTCTGGATTCGTTAATATTAAACGAATAGGCGAAAATGTTTGGTCATTTGAATGAAATTCTCACATATTCCCGTTTAATAATTTTTACGAAATAAAGTATTCACAGTTTTGAAGTTGATTTATTTTTGAAAATAAAACTATTAATGTCCATCTGAGTCAACTTAAGAGCAGAGCAGTGTTACCTTTGGGAGGCAATAAAACGTCCCCTGCATTTATTGAATAATTACTTTGGCATTCAGATCAAACTCCCTTTAATTTTCTTAATTGTAATTCAATAATATTCGAATTTACTATGTAAATATTAATTTTAGTACAGCTCGAATACCCTTGTCTAACCAAAAACAATACATACAAAAAATTAAAATAATATGTTTTGTACTTTTTTAGATAAATGACTTATCAGTTGGGAATATATTATAAGGAGCAAGCCTCCTAATAGTTGCTCAGGATTCGCAAAATTTAAAAGAGAATGAACATTTCATCTATGGCTCGCTAATAAATGATAGGTGTGTTTAAGTATAGGATTCATAATGCAGAATGCAATTAAGGTGTTCAAACCGCTTGGTTTCTAGAACTGGGTACAGACAGAGATATATCTGATCCCCAATAGCCTCTTTAGATTAATTTAACGTTTCATTATATTTAATCCGCCAATATCGTTGTCCCGCCTTGGATTATGTGCTCTTTTTGGAGTTACTGCTGTCGTATTCGAAACGTGATCCGACACGTTGGTGAATTATGTTTATTTATTCCTGCGCGAACATTGCCATGTAATGGCTTTAGCGCTTTGAAATGATCCACACCAAAGCCCATTGTGATTGGCGCCTTGCCAAGGCAGATTACCCTACATCTCTGTAACCGTCCATTGTATCTGATAATCCGTGTGTTTTTGCATTGTGTAATACATCGACATGTAGGGTGGAGCAGAAGTGATGTCCGAAGCTTAGGTGTAGTTAGCTTCTGCGCAATGCTGTTGCGTGGGTTGCACGCCTTTTGTATCAATGTGCTATACGTGTACATTTGCTAATAAAGGCACGAAATTGGCTACGTTCCAATTGCTGAGTGCGTTTATGTTGATTATACCTATACCACCCCAACAATGTTTACATGTGACTGCCAATATCCAAATAATAGTTGGCGAGGCGGCATGTCTAAATATAGCCACAACGTATTCGATTTATTCTTTCAATTTATCGTTTTAATGACAAACATGTATTGTAATGCAACAAACTTTTAACAGGTGTTAAATTACTCCACAGAATCAACGCGAGTATCGGTTTATCAGTATAATAAAGACTGAAAAAATTAATTTATTTATTGTCCTCAGAACCTTAATATTTTCTATCTAAAGACTTAAAACACCGAGTTTAGAAACTTTTACGACCCATGTAAAAAGTGAACCCATATTATGAGATGTTCTTAAGCATGCCCAATAGCATTCAGTTTATTTTTAAGGAGCAGACTTGGGCGGGCGGATGAAATATTCCCGAACCAACTAGACTAGCCGAGCCAGATTGCTCATGCGCTGGCACGTGGGCCACTTAGAGACGTGAAATGTCTCGTGATTGGGAATCGTGAGTGAAGTACAAACCTCTACACCAGCATCAAAAGTGATTTTCATAAAATGCGAAAATCGTTAACCCATTTTGACAGAGATGTATGCAAAAAGAATTGGTACTATTTTAAATTATTTTGTTAGAAAGCATCTCAAAAAACAAAAACTGTTTGAAAAAATAAATGATTATATAACGATTTTATAAGGCTACGAATAAGAGAAAAACGCCAAAGGAAGACCATTTCTGTAATACGAGTATGCGCAGCAAATTGTGTAAAACGAAAGCTGTGATTTTCAAGTGACGAGTTTTCACATGTCGATGTTTGAAATCATATGACAACCTGAAGAGTTTTGAAACAACTTAACAAACATACGTATGCTTATGGAAGGTCCTGCTTTACTGGTTTTATTAATAATAACTTTTAACAATAATTATTAAACAAAAAAATAACCTCTAAGTAAAATTCAATCACCTAAATTCTTTTACCGTCTTCAACTTGTCTTTTGCAAGTACACTAACTGACGGTGTCATCTTTCTCAAGAAAACATCAAAGAGCCATTGCCTTTTAAAAAATTGTAAATTTTCAGTTAGGTAATATTATTTTCCGACATTCTTCTTCAATAAGTGAGTTTTTAGTTTTTATTTTCTTACTAACAACTCTATTTTTGGAAAAGAAAACGTTTTCCTCTATTTTGAAAATATTTACATTTGCGCTTGTCATTTTTATAGTTTGATTCAGCCTTTTTGGAATTGACATTTCCCCTTTTCAATACGATAATTTTGCAGAATTTCATTCGGAAATGCCATATACTGGGTGGCTTGAATAAAGATTGAACAGTAGTTTTCCAATCATAAACTGGATATTCACTTTCGAACAACCTTTGTGTCCATCTGACATATCGAGTAATGAAACGGGAAACTATTTAGGGAATGTAAAGTTCTTACATCGCCATCTGCAAAGAAGTCAAGTTTCGAATTCTGGAATGAATTTGTCGGAAAATAGTCAGGTTTTGGAAATTACCTCGAACTTTACATTGTTATTTCTCTAGGAAATAATGAGATATAGAACATTTGGAAGGTTTAATGGAATGCAATTCACACCACAAAAGATGAAAATGCTGATAGCTTAATTTTGATAAAAAAGGTCAATGCTGCATTTGCGCTGGACAGTTTAACTCCGCGCCAGCATTTTGGACAACCGCCAAAACAGCGCAGCATTTACACGGCGCCTGGCTACCCAACGAAGCAAATCGCACGGCTGACCCTCATTGGCCAGCTGGGCCTTTATAAACTTCTGCAAGCGGAGGAGCCGAGTGAGCAGTAGTGAACTGCAATACAGTGCGAGCATTAGAGTAAGTGGAAGTTGGTTATTCGTGTACTGTGACACCTTGGCAGAGTTGTGGCTCTTCCCCTCTCGGCTACGGAACAATTAGCACGCTAGTGCACCTTACGATAACCCGGTTTTATTCCTCAGGACTTCTCTCCCGAAACATGGTCATCGATCCAGCAAAGCTGCAGACATTTCTACGGCACTGGCTACCGCCGAACGCTCCCCCGAGCCAGAACGCTGTCGTTCGCGTCCACGGCCTTCGGCCGTCTTCGTATGTTCCACTATGCTTCGCTGTCAGGCCTACTGTATTCGCTACGTCGTGTATTTAATAAATGTGAGTCTGTCATCTTCCTAGACTATTATCCTAGCTATTTGGCTATCTGGGAGTCACCGATGTTTCGGGCGCATTTAGCCCTGTGGAAGGTCACAGAAAATCGACTGTGCTTAGGACGCGGAGTCTCCCGTACAGCCAAGTAGCTGACGACCGCGACCGTGGAAGCTTACGCTCTCTACTATCCAATGTCGACTTTTGGAAATATACTCCACGTGTGAGGTTAGGGGAGCTCACCCTCGTAGAGCCAGTCGGGCACGCCGTTGAAGACGACGCCCGGCACGCCGGTGTTGGTGACGCGGTACGCCGGGCCGCGCGCCGCCGGGTCGGGCCGGTAGTAGATGTCGTAGTTGTGCACCATGACGACGCCCAGGCCGCGCGGCACCCACGCCGCCAGCAGCAGGTAGGGCTGCGCGCCGCCGTCGTCCGCGTCCGCGCCCGGCGACAGCGGGTACGTGTCCCTGCGGAACGCCAGCGGTTGTTAATGAGATGTTGCAGGGGATGCTGATATTTGATGACACGATGCGTGATGATTCACTAAGTATTTTAATGCAGTAAAACTGGCTCAATGCGGAAATCTGTCTAAGTTTACATAAATCGCGGCCCTGCCAAACATAAAATCTATAGTATTACATTGCATAATATGCAGCATCTTGTCTAATATGAAAAAAATACTGGTCCCTTGAGACTCCGCATTGAGAACGTTTTATTGTATGTATATTACTAATTTTCAATAAGTATAGATATTGAAAGAAAACTATGCTGTCTCTAGTCTTGTGAAAGGTGTCTACGATTCCATTACATACCAAAGAACTCGAGAAAATCAAAGAGGAAATCAAACAGTTTTGATTTTGACTGAAAATGCAAATAGTTGGTTGTGCTTGTCCGTCTATTCTCTTACTGCATGATCATATTAAGCTACATTAACTGCATTATCATATTCAATGCGTCACTACTTACGACAAAGTTGTAACGCGACAGCAAGTCTCCATGGAGGAGGCTGTCCACCATTAAGTATTCACGTGTTGCGTTATGGAACGCAACTTTTCTATATTTTTTGTTGTTGTACTGTGTATCCGTGTACTATATCAAATGTGTGTTACTGTAGAGTTATACGCATTCTTATATTTGTTGTTTGAACAATGTGCGTTCTATTTTTTGGAAAACTTTTTCGTGTGTGTTTTTCAGCAGCACTTTTTGCGGCTGCGGACCCTATTATAAACTAGTTGAACCCAAAAAACATGTCACACGTTGTGAATCATCAATGATTAAAAATTTTAAAAAATAGCTGCATTCTAGAGTTTCTGTCAACCTATGGTTTGGAGGTAGAGTACCTTCCAAAATTGCAATAAAATGTCCATAAATCGTCTTATTTTGTAGATTAAGGCATAAGAAACAACGCATAACCCTTTAGGGTCTCGCACGTTTTAAGTGCCAAGGCACATCCAAATTATGAACTATATTACACGTTATGTATTGCAACATGACGTGTTGCGGTTCAAATGTGCGCCTTCTACTTCTCTTACATCAACATATGCGAATTATTTTCGTCTAAATCTGTTTACTGTAGGACTGGGAGGGGATGGTTGGGGGTGATATTTCCTTTTCAGCAGTAGCACACTTACGGGGTTTTGTGAAGATGGTTTATTAAAAACGGGACAAAACAATCGCTTTTCCATAGCGTATTACTTATAAAAGGAACTTAAATAAACTGCATTGTTTTTTATAGCACTCAACGACTTTTATTCATGAGATATCCAAGTGATGGGAAAGCCGATGGATTCCACGAAACACGTATATCGGTACTTTTTTTAAAAAAAATAAGCTCTCAATATCTAGTTCATTAGCAATCACTACTGCATTTAACAGTATGATAACTGTGAAGATGACATGATATAGAGATGATAGCGGGTGAAAGGACAAATACAACCATGACCGAGGCGGAACTCGAACCCACTCGAACCAGAACTATAGTACGTACTAAATTTGGTAATTTTCTAATAATGTTTTAGAATAGCCATGAATATTTTTCCGTGCGGAGCGCTGGCAACGGCTAATAAATTCTGGACGACGTACTACTCCGAAGCGACAAATTCAGATCGACTTAACCATCATTCTGAAAGAGCCTTGGCAAAATACCCGGAAAAATTAAATCCCCTGACATTTCCAGGGCTAATCAGATTTCACATTCCTTCAGACAAGCAACGACGTGAGTGATGGCAAAAACCGATATGGTTGTTACGTATCTCTGTCCCTAGTGGAGAAAATAGAAGTCGAAATTGTAGCAAATAAGTTATCACTTAAATTAATAGAAATTGTTAATGCTTTGTTGAAAAGGGCATTTGATTTATTTTCAATGAACAATTAAAACGGAACGCACAACATTACTACTACTTGTCATTGCTGTCCAGTCATATTAATAAGCAATATTGAGAAGTGAGGGGATCTGAAGGCGGTGGAAAAATCTGTGCACTTATCTCTTAATATGTGCTGACAATAATAACAATTCATGGAACACATCAATGAGCCATAAAGCAATAGTTTTTAAAACGTCTTTTGTGGATTCTTGCGTACAGCAAATACACGAAAATTAATATGAAATGTATTTTAAAATAAAAGCTACCAGAATTATTGCTAATTCAATACAAATAAAAGAGGATTAACTTGATAGTAATGAAAAATAAATATCCTGAATGTTTTACTAGGCCTGCAAAGTCATACTGAACAAAACGACACAAAATGCTTGTTTTTTTCAAAAACGTAGCACCAATACTGCTCCAGAACAAAAAAAAAATACTCTCATGTAGCAATGCAATAAATTAAATATTTAAACAAAATCTATACAGCAATAACATACTGCAATAATAATAACTTTAAGTATTCTATACAACAGATCTTTGCCTACCAAGACAATTAAATAAGTGGTTCTACAACAGCACATACGTTTTTGCTTTTTTTGTAACTGTTCCAATTTTTGAAAATTCAGAGAGTTGAATAAGACCTGCACCATTTTGAAACATTCTTTACTCTACCCAAGGAAATAAAGAAAAAATGGAGGAATTTTGGAGAAGAAATACTAGACTGACGACAAAATTACGTGAAAGCCCCTTTTAAAACAAACTGTTCACGGACTTATTTAAAGATTTAATTTTAAACCGATTTCATGTAAGGAAAAAAAACTCTCATCCCCTGTAGCAATACAATACTTCTTCTTTACTTCGTAAGTAAGTAGTAAGCGAGAAAGTAATAAGTTGCTGTTCTATTGAGCAATACGTGAATAGTAAGATTTAACGTCGGACGGCCCCTTTCTTCCTTGTGTCTTGCTAGCGCATGACGTCGGGTGTATCGAAAACAGTGACGTACTCATTGTGTGAATTCAGTAAGAACACTCAGTATGAGAATGGGCGTACAAACACAATTAAATATTTACATTTTTTAAAGTATTGATACACGTATCCCGTCGTGTCATTCATACTATTATTCATTAATTCATTCGTTAATGAATAATTTAAGTCAAAGTAACATCTGTGAATGGTACCAAAATTCACGGTATTACATCAGACAATATCTATCAGCTTCAGAAAATAACCACGTCTCAGATTTTGAAGTAACAAGGTGAATAGAGTGTAGGTGGAATACCAAATTTGCATTGTCGTGAACCAACGAGCCAACCTGTCACGTTTTACCACGCTTCTCCGCCCAACAGTTTCATTGGAACTTTTCATGCAGCGGGGGCGTCGTGCGCGGGCGGGGAAATGAGACGTGGAGTACACCTGTGATTGGCAGGTGGCATGGAGCACACGTCGCGTCCCAGGTGAAGGACGTCAAGCGGTATGCAACACTCGCAGGGAGGGGGAACCGCGCGACGCCGCCGCCGCCGCCGCCACCGCCGCCGCCGCTGCCGCTGCCGCTCTCTCTCCGCTCCTCTCCACGAGGTTTGACGTTTGACGGATCCCGAAATTGGATCTCCCCGTCGATCAATGGGAGCATACTTAATAACCCCCCGATGCGCTGCTGCTTTCACTGAGCGCCCTTCCGCGCAGGGACGCAACGTTGCGCGCCGCCGGGAAGTCGCGTGCGCTGAGATTTAGTTTCGCGGTAGGGCTGGGGGAGGGTGGAGGGGATTGAAGAGAGAGGAATGGGAGAGAGCGAGGGATCGACATGGATAAAAAAGGAGAGGGAGAGAGGGTCGGAAAGAAAGTTCGGGAGAGAGGAAGCGTGTTGGAAAGAGAGGAAGAATGATGGAGAGAGAGAAAGAGAAAGACAGACAGAAAGACAGACAGAAAGACAGAGAGACAGACAGACAGACAGACAGAGAGACCGATGAAGGAAAGGCGTCTAAAAAAAAAGGAGTCGAACAAATAGAGAAATAGTGCGCTTTCCTGATTGACAAATCAGAATTTGCTCGACTTTGAGTAATACTTTTCAATTGTTTAATTTCAATCATCAGAAAGAAAACTAACTTAATATACATAAACATTATTCGCATACAAATACTTTAAGAACGGATAATTAAATAACAATGAAATATTTATTGTGGAGTTTGTCAGAATTGGAGCCGAACCCATAGAGTCCCGATCGACCTTGGCAATGAGTTCAGCGCATCGAGACTACTGTGCCCGAGTACGCTAGTTCCAGCACTGCCATTATCGAAAACGAACAATGTCAATTCTAAGCCTGTTATTGCGATGTGCCCTCTTCGTCGATATATGAAATGGAAACGATGGATAACAATGCTCGAGGCATCAATGGATAACTTGACATCGTTTATTGCTCCTTTGTATCTGTTAAATATCTTAAACGGATTATTTCATGTTCAGTAGAAGGAGTAACAGAACACCGTCTACCGGCAGTACGAAAATCGAAAAAGAAGAGTCACACTAGGCATGTTGTGCGATCTAAGCATAAGTCTGTCTAAGAAAGAAGAAGGAAAGAAAAAGAGAGGAAGATCGCCCGCAGTCCATAATCCGTTTGTGAGGGTACTACTCCCGGCATTTTCTGATGTCAATCGGAGACACTACGGAAAGCTGTCGATCAGAGCAGCCGGCTGCTAAATTTCTCCTCCGAACAGCGACGGAATTCGACCTAACTATTTAGTTAGCCGCACTTAGGACCCGAATCCTAACATCTCCCGACCAGAGTCGCTGCAGAGGTAGCGGCATTGCTGGCTCTGAGATAAACGGAAGGGCGGTCGGATCAGAAGGAGGGGAGAAACGTTCGGAGCTTCTGCTCCGAGCGGAACTGATGGAGGAGCGGAAGGAGCGAAGGAGTGGAAGGAGCGGAGAAGCGGAAGGATCGGAAGGAGCGCAAGGAGCGGAAGGAGCGCAAGGAGCGGAAGGAGCGGAGGAGCGGAAGGAGCGGAAGGAGCATAGGAGAGAAAGAATCGAAGGAGTGGAAGAATCGGAGGAGAGGAAGGAACGGAGGAGTGGGGGAGATAAAGGAGTGGGGGAGTTGAAGGAGCGGGTCGAGTGCAGGGAATGATGGCAGCGGAAAGAGGAAAATATTCGTGCAGGGGCAGGCGAGGCTGCTTAATAGATAATTCTGATAATTAAATGATCGGGTAATAAGCTAGTTTTATTATTAATCGCTCTCCTAAAGAAGTGAAGCTAATACTTACATGGTAGCGATGTCATAGACCGTGTACTGCGCCAGGTAGGAGTACCGGAAAAGCTGGAAGAAAAAAGAAGTTTGATTGTGCTTGTGAACACAAGAACTAATTAAGGTGTTATCATGCTGTTATGCCCCATAGCCCAGAATAAACACAGTAAAATCTGATGTTCCTTGCTAGCCGTGTGGATATAAAATGAAAAGTAATTTTTATCACTTTCATCAACGATTTCATTCAATTTTCATAATCGGTTATCATCCTCCAAGTATAAAAGAAATGGTTGCTCAGAGTATATTACGAAAGTGCTTTAACGATAATGGAAATAGGGTTGTGAAGTTAACGGTAAAGGTTGATTATCTTTTTTCACTCAAGAATATTTTATATCAACGAGAAAAGCTGGAAAGCATACTAACATACTTCTCAAGAAGTAATGAAATTAAATGAACACAGACATTTCGCATTGTCTTTGAATTGCGATTATTTTCTGGTTTTTTATTATGAAAATTCGTAATTTAAGCGTGATTTAAGTATTTTTCATACAAGTTAGATTAATTTGTTTCACAGTCAAGACTTTTGTTTATCTTGAAACGCAATTAAAAGTTTGAACTAATTTAGATTCTTCAGAACATTATTCACTTGAAAATCTACCTAGTGTGTGCCTGGCTGACTGAGAGTTTAGCTTTCTGGCCTCTGAACCTCCAGTGCGCGAATTTGATCCCGGAATAGGTGCGCAGATTTTCGAAGGGTGAAAAATCCTCAGCAGTCATGTCACTCTCGTAGCATGTAAAAGAGCCCTCGTAGAATGCCCGGCAAAATTAAATCCCTCCGATATCGCGCTCTAACGAGATCTCACTTTCTCCCAACAAGACATGTTACATTCCTCATGCTCGGCGGTAGTCGGACAACTGATTTCACATTGCTCTTGGGAGTAATAGACATTCAAAGACAGTTCGGATACTCAGACGGACCTCTGGTGGAGAAAGTGAGAGTGGTGCAGCTGCTCAGATAAAGGTCCCCGGACCCGCGTCGGAGGTAGGCTTCCAAGGAAGCTTAGTTCAAAACCCGGGTGCAGAACAACTGCCTGAAGCAGTCACTCCGCAATAAATACTACACGATATATGTACACTATAAAAAGATTATTTAGAAAAATATTAAAGCTGTTAGAAAAAAGAAAATTTAGGTTAAAATTTGAAAGTAACACCAACGTTATAGCATATATTCTATTTTTCTCAAGTTTTGATGTGAACTCAATTTCTTCTTCACAAGGCTGTGACCTACTTCACTAATGCTGATATGAAACCATGAATATCATGTCTAAAGTACACGAAACAACTTGATTGTATCCCTCGGGGCTCGGTACTTCGCGACCTCTAATTAGTACGTGATCACTTTCCGAAACTTCCTCGTTTATCAGAGAGTGGAACCTGTACGTCACTCAAGGTCTATCCGCGTTGAAGGGCGAACAATGTACATTACGGTCTCACTCCCTTCCCATCATTTTACGTTCCCGGAGAACAGTCAGATACTCAGACAATGCTTTAATGTAGCATCAAATGTACTACAAGTATTTTAAGAACATTCATAAAGGATAGAGAAAGTATCCAGTATCAGTAAAAAAATATTTGGATCATGTTATCATAGAAAGTGAAGGTACATCAAGGACATGGAATGGCGTGGCTTGGCCCAAACTTAATGTTTTATATCATGCAACATTTAAAAATAGTTTATTTGGCACCGTTTTATCTTTTTTAATGAAAATTATTCTGAGATAGGCGTAACATTTTAGTATTTGGGGAACATATTTAACATTGATTCATTCGATGGGATATGTAGAGTTGTTTGCAGATACATATTGGTAAGAAGAAGATTCAATGTAATTACTCATTTCGGTACATTTTTTACAAAATACATTTTTTACTACCTTACCTATTTTTCAAACTTTTCACTATATTATGATGTTACTTACATGTACAAGTAAAAACAGACAGATTTTAATTAATTGAAATTGCTTCCAGTAATGATTAATAATACTTACCTATCATATATTTATTTTTCTTGTACATTTAATATTTTTTCTCTTGAACCTCTCAGTAGCAAAAATGTTTCTTCGACTATACATGAAGAATACCATGTGCTACAGATATATAAAACTGCGTCTCTTTAAATGCCCATGTTTTCAAATATTGTATATTAAATTTTAAGAAAAACGAACTTTTAGAAATCGATGAAAAACAATATTCAGGTTATTTAACATAACATATTTAACATATTTGCTCAATTAATACACATTTACAAATAATACTCGGACACTAAACTCAATAGTTTTCCATCAAATTTAAGAAACTCACTTCCGGTACCCTTCGAATGCAGCACAGAAAGTAATATTAGTGTCGAGACGCACAAACAAGCAATGAGCAAACAACATTTCAAAAGCGGTGCATACCCGTTCTAAAGGCCCAATTAGGCCGATGCTCGACAATGCGCCACATCGGTCCGCACACTCACAGGGCGTCACGTACGTTGCTGATCACGGGTTTCTACGCGTCCACGCAGAAACTTTCATTTGCATCGCCCAACTGTCCGGTATGAAAGGGCATTATTCCCACTCTCAATTCCCTGTGACATTCTCGGGCAGTTCTTCCACGGAGAACGGCATTTTGGGGTAGGAGCGCTGCTCGTAACATGTTACATTCATCACGCTCGGCGGTAGTCGGTCAACTGATTTCACATTGCTCTTTGGAGTAATAGACGCCCATAGAGCCATCTGTTGATGTGAACACACCCCACTGCAGCATTTCTTTCACGCTACAAACGAAATTGTGCGATCCGATAACATTTCTTTTAGAAAAAAGTATCTGCCATGGCTTCTGCTCCAACCCTCGCATTGCTCCGCAGATCTACCCCAACTCTCGTACCCTTCTAGTGAGAGCATTTTCTATAAGGCTATCGTTGAAAAAATCGATATACTTATCTGAAAATTACTTCCCCGTCGCTTAACAAATATACTGTTTCTTTTCCTTTTTCAATCACTATTATTAACTTTGGTACTGATCATTAGGCATAATATTCAAAATAATTCGCAGAGTATTTAGTTTCTAAGGATATGTTTAATTTAATATCATCATTATCATGATGATTATCTTGTATTCCAATTTTTCTCGTTGTGGTTACGTCAAGCAGTAGGTGATTTATCAAACGTTTTTCGTAAACTTTACTATTTTCGGGAAAGATAACCTGTTTTAACGCACTCCCCAGTTTTGTTGAATCAAAGCTCTTATAGTGTCGTTAATATTGTGCGAACTTCCAGGTAAGTGAGTTACGAGCAGTGCGGTAGTTATCTGTTTAGTTCTGTTCGTGCCGCGCATAAATTCACGATGTATTGTGCAGGTGCAATCACTGAGTAATTTTGCATTTTACCTGCAATTTACTACATCGATTCCTGGGAATACATACCTTCTGCACATTGTGTGCCATTAGAATGTACTTATGGTCTGGTGACATGGTAAACCGTAGAGGATTCCAATGTTTCTGCAACATACAGATAATACAATGAAATGGAAGATCAAAACTCAACGTTTGGAAAAATGGAGTATGTTTCCGCCGATACTTACGAAAGTTGTATTCGACATGACGGTTCGTGTGGTGAGGTTGGCGGCATTGAGTAGACTGATACCGCCCCATTGGTCTCGGAAGAGTAGTTCTTCACCTGAAACGCAGAAAAGAAAAAGAAAATCAGAAAAATTCAAGGAATTGGGTGTTATTTTAATGAAGATATCTATTATTCAGACATGACTCTTACGCTTGTTTGAAAGTGTTTGCTACAGTAAGTATGTTTTTCTGAATACGATATACGTATAGGTTACGATATACGTCCAAAATAGGCTAAAACTCGAGTTTAACAGGCGTCAGATGTGAGTAAAAAACAGTTGCAAATGAAATGTGTTTCGAACTCCATGAGACAATACGTACTTGTGCCTCTCGCTGTATAATAAAGTACAGAATATAATTCATGACGTAATACGTTTTTTTAAACCGACATCCTGTTGTATTTCTCTCATATATAGAAGAGCAAATTATTCCCCATTGAAAAGGATTGTAGAAATATTCTCTTAGCAAAAATACGCCTAAAACATTCACGACGCTTTTGAAACATGTATGCACGTTATATTTGTGACTCTGTTAAATGTTAATTTGAATTGACTGTCTCTAATTAAGAGATAGTTTAATTCATAACATTCATAAAAAGAACGTAACCACAAGATCGTGCAGAAAAATCACATATCGAATCTTGAAACGAATCTCACTATTTATTCCGGCGTATCATTTTAGTTTTTACATTTCTCCTATGCAGGCTTCGGCGTGCTTGGGTGCTCGTGGGAAATCCGATCTGCGAGGGAAGCGAACAAGATCGCGCTGGAGATCTCGGGACTCGCGAGATCGCGTGCTCGCGCTTCGGAATGGCCGCGCACTCGAGAGCGAGGGCGTGGAGAAGCACCGCGGAGCGCGGGGCTTGGAGAGCGGGGAGGGGGCACGGAGCGTGCGGCGCGGCGAGCGGGTGAGGGCGCGGGGCGCGGAAGCGGGAGGTCGGGCCGCGAGCAGCAGTTGCTGGAGGCGTGGCGCGAGAGCGCGCGCGCGGGCGAGGCTGGTCGGCAGCGCGGTCGCGGAGCGCGGGTCGGAGCGTGGGGCGGGGGCGCGGAGTCTGTGGAGGCGGCGGTCGGCGAGCGCCCGGTCTATTGGGAAACGCGGTCGGAGCGCGCGGGCATTGGGGCGCGCGCGGCGGAGCGCGGGCGGGAGCGCGGGCGGCGGGCGCGAGGCAGAGAGCGCGGGGCTGGGCGCGGCGGCTGGGAGCGTGGAGGCGGATCGCGGTCGGGAGCGCGGGGCACGGGAGCGCGGGCGGGGCGCGAGGCGGAGCGCGGGCGCGTGGCGCAGGCGGGAGCCGGGGGGCGCGGGGCGGGCGCGGGCATGGTGGGCGCGCGGGCGGCTGGGCGCGCAGGCGGGAAGCGCGGGCGGGTCGCGGGGCGGAGGCGCGAGGCGAGCGGGCGGGCGTTTGCAGGCGCGGGAAGGGGTCGGCGGGTCGTGGAGGGCGCGGAGCCCGGGGGCGCGGAGCGGCGGGGCGCGGGGCGCGGGGTGCGGGGTGCGGAGCGCCCGGCTTGTCGAGCGCGAAAGCGCGGGAGCGTGATGCGTGCGCGGGGCGGGGCGCGGGCTGCCAGGGCGGGCACTGGCGCAAGGAGAGCGGACGGGTGGAGCGTGCGAGAATGCGCGGTAGTGCGGCTACGAGCGGGCAAGCGGAGCGAGGTAACGGAGACGGGCGGCGGACGCTGCGGCAGTGAAAAAATGGGAGGAAAGCAGGAGCAGGTTGTTGTCGCGGAGCTTTAGGCGTGGGCGCCTTGGAGCGTGTTGGAGTGGGGGTCGTCCGGAAGGGGATGAGTCCGGAATGAAGGAGTGCGAGGTACGGGCACGGACACAGATCTATGGACGCGGGGCGTTGAGCGGTTGACTGGCACGTAGGGTGAACACTATGCGGTTTCAGGGGTAGGCGGGGCGTGCGTGGTGGAGGCATGAGCGAAGCGCGCTGCACCAGCCGCGGGGCGCAGGCTCGGATGCTGGCGTGGCGGTGGTGGCGGCGCCGGCGGCGCGTGGCGAGTAGGCAAGGCGTGCGGTGGGGGTGGAAGCGTAGTCTCGCGATGCGACGCGCGCTGTATTGGATCGGGATGCTGGGCGGTGGGCGGGCGGGGCGCGGAGCGGCGCGGGGCGCGTGGCGCAGGGCGAGTGATGAAGGGTGTAGAGAGGGGGGTGGGCGCAGGTCTCGGGGTGCAAGGCGCCGGGCGCGGAGTGCGGTTGGCGCCTGGCCTGGCCGTCGGACGAGCCGTGCGGCGTATCGCCCACGCATCGATCGGGCGACCCTTCGCCTCCGTGGCTTGCTCCTCCGGCGCCCATCCTATCATTCGCTCTCGCGCTCGCCCACGCGAATACGCACACTAGTCCGGCAGCGAAGGCGACCTCGAAGAGAGATGCCGTGTTATGAGGACGTTGGCGTTCCCGATGACGTAGGTGGCGGAAACGACGTACATCAATGGAAACCGAGAGTGGAAGTCCAAATACTTCTCTACCTTACAAGACTTTGATCTTGTAATTGTGATCAAATGAAATCATTAATATAAATCAAGATTTAATTTATTCATAAATTTAAAATCGAGATTTTCGAATAATTCAGTTATTTAATTTAAAATCGCGTTTTCAGTTTGAAGTTTTATTAATTTTCTTTAATATACACTTACTTATCTTTAGTATCTTGTGACAGTTCTACTTCATAAGCACCATGAAAATATATTCAGCCTAATTTACCTATTGATGTAATTTTCAACCTTTTTAACCTCCTTATTCAATACCGTTATGTGAAATACTGCAAAACAGCATTGTGAAATACGTACGTAAATATGTGTAATTACGTTGTTTTTCTCTATTTACTGCTGAATTAAATTGTATATTTATTCACATCATTTGGCCGTTTTAGGACAAATAACTGATGCGGTTCAGGTGTACAACTATCCCAATTTGTAAATCATGCTATCGATCGTGCGTCAAAATCTTATTATCAATCTTTGATGCATACAAAGAGAAGTTTTAAAGAAAAAATGAAAGCCGTTGTTAAAAAAATAACTGTTGAAATTGCGCATTTGTGACGAAAAATTACGCGAAAACTACTCATGTTCTCTAAAAATTGTTTGTATACAATATTATTTCAAGATGTGTCTTTAAAGAATAGATTTCGTTAGGAAAAAAAGCTATCTTCAATACTGAAGACGCCGCAAAAAATTTGTTTTGTAATTTTAAAAAAAATCATATATTTCAATGAAAAAATTATTTTATGACTTCTTTACGATATCTAAGAACAAAGTTTAATCCACGAATTTGGGGTCATTCGTGAGAAGGGTTTGAAAATGTTGAGACATCATGTGAAATACCTCCTAAAATTTCAAAATATCCGTTTCAATAACGCAGAGTCTCAAATTGGTTCAGATCTATCGTAGAATATCAGTTTTGGACAAAATCGTCTGAACGCTTTAAGCGCTCGTGTTGACCACAGTCAGAGTGACAGAGGGACTAACAGATAGAGGCAGGCAGACAGAGATGTGGACAGACAAAGAGAGGCAGGCAGACAGACAGATATATAGAGAGAGGCAGACAGACAGAGGGAGAAAGACAGACAAAGGGAGGAAGACATGCAGAGGGAGAAAGACAGAGGAGAGGGAGAGAGAGGGAGATATACAGAGAGAGGGAGAAAGACGGACAGGGGGAGGAAGACAGACAGAGAGTCATAAAGACAAAGAGACGCAGAAACAGAGAGAGTCAGAAAGACAGAGAGAGGCAGACTGTCGGACTTACAAACTGACGGACGGACAGACTGAGTGACGGACGGACGGACATACCTACTGCCCAACGAAGAAACTGACGGTCAGACTGACGGCCAGACAGACTGATGGCCAGACAGACTGACGACCAGACTGACTGACGACCACATAGACTGACGGACAGACAGACTGACGGATGGACAGAAAGACTGACGAACAGACATGCAGACGGACACACAAACAGAACCGTCAATCGATTTTTCGACCCACAAAACATGGACCCCTATCATGGACCCACAAATCATAGATTATAACTACAGTATGTTAATGAAAATAGTTTACTATATATAGGAACGAGAGTTATTCACTTTTTCGTTGCCAAGGCTTGGTAATGAGGGTTTTTCTTTCGAAAAATCACAGTTTTGGGGCGCACGATTACATTACTTTCTCTTCTTGCAAAGTAAGAGTGATAAAGTTTAAAATAGATTCAACGTGTCACCCTCACTCGCCCCTGAGCTGAAGAGTTTGATAGCGGGATACGACAGGGGGGCACAGGGACCTGGCGGTACTATCAGCTTTATACCAGACGGTTCCCGGAGAGATACGAGCGCGGAAGCGGGGGCGCATACGTGCGCCTGGGAAATTCGCCTCTATATCGCTCGTAAATTCTCGCTTCGGAGGAACGGGTCCACTTAGCTTCTCGGCACGCGCTACGGAGTGCACTCGAAACTGTTTCGATACTAAATAAAAATGTTTAGATAGTTTCCGGAGAAGTAACCACATAGTTCGAGGTTCGAGAAAGACGTAAATATGTCAAGGTTCTGCATTTCCAATAAGATGTGCATTATTGTTGAGACTACAAAATATGTTACGTATCAATCATAACGGTAAATTTGAAGCAAGTTTACATTAATAATATAAATTTTAATAAGAATAAGTATATAGATTTCAACTAAAAAATACGATTTATGATTAATTATTATATTATAATTAGTCACAGATACAGTAAGTAGCAGTTTGAAAATATGTTTAGGCTCCGCCTTTGCAAAATAATTGAAACAGCTATATCCCAAGTGTAAAATAAAAGCTATAAACATCTGGAGCTTCCTCCGATGACGTATCCCTTCGTAAAGTCAATTGGTCATTTAACAAACTAAAGAGAATGGTACGCTTTATGCTCAGTTAAAACAGAAGCATCACTCTAAATTAGCAATTGAACGCCTTTTCGTTTCTAAGAAAATAGGTGTTCGTGGTTTAGTATATTTGAAAGCATTATGCAACTGCCCTGTCTGAAAAAATACGTCAAAACACAATCTGAACTGTTGCCTCTACATACTATGTAACAAAGGCTAAA